TTCCGTAATTACAAGAAATATTTCGTTTTAATGAAAATTATTTTTTTGTTGCATAATTTATGATCGCCACTGTACGTACTTATTTTATGAAATCAATAGTGGAGTGTAATTTCAAAATTTAAATTTTTTAATTATTACGCATATATATTATCAGTTTCTGATGGAATATTCATAATTTATGGAGGGTCAAAAGATATTCTTTCAACGAATACTATTTCCAGAATGTGCAATTTAAATATCACCATTTAAATAGACTGTTAATTAATAATGTAATGAGCAAGAACTTGAAAAAATTAGATTAGAAACAATAGAATCAAATTTAAGAATCTTGCTAGATATTAGGTCTATATAAATTTGAACCTGAATCGTTGGCGGCACAAATTTTTTAACAATTGATACTTTTTATTAAAGGTATCAAAATAAACACGGTGAAATAATGATGGTTAGACAAGATTTAATTTTTATAAAAAAATCATATTATATATTAAATTAATTTTGCTCAAAAACTATAATTTAAAATTAATAATGACAAATTAAAGCATTTGCTTGTGAATCATATTTAATTACAGGCAAGATGTTGCGTGATGAAATTTCATATGGCATAGACCAATTAAATCATTAACTATAACTTTTTTTATCCTTGCTGGGGCAAATCACCTAGCAAAAGTCGAAACTTTTCACAATAATTCATTAGAAAGTGGATTTCTTAAATGTAAATTACCATAACAGAGTAATATATATAATAAGGTATACTTTTGCGTGATAAGTATCATATTTTTTCTTCACAATCCTTGACAATAAGTTAAAGATTTATAATATCGTAATTTACTTATCATTAAACGACTGATCTCATTCTCTGAAAGAAATTCTTGGTATGGAAAGTTTCAGACAAGTCATCACAAATTCATCTTAACTACAACATCGATTTAATTTCAGTTTGTACCATACCACGTTATAAAATGCCATCTTGTAATATAATATAAAATACAAAAATCATATTCCCAATATGACAATTTTGAAAAGTAGATTAATGATTTGATCATGTTTTGAAATATTTGAAAATCTGATAATGTTTATTTACACAAATAACCAAAATTAAAATTCTATAGATTCTATGTTATTACGACATTCTAATTTATTTAATTTTTTTTAAAAAAAATATGACCGAAATAAGGAATCAAGTAATATATAACACACAATAAGAATTATTTCATAATTACACTAAAAACTTCAATTTCATCGACAGATGTATTCACATTTCCGTCAATATTTATATCATTATAACTTCCACAATTATTAATACCAAGACTTGATCCGTTAGTATATAAACAATTTCCAAAATTAATGATATAGGAACCACTGTAATTCTCCCGTATAGACATACCCACTTTAATTACTCTATAAAGATTCATGTTATGTATATCTTGATTATTTTCAAAAGAAAAGATAAAACTATCAGAAGATGTTAACCATTGATTGATTCTCATCGCATAACCAATTGGATTATAGCCTCCATAAATCTTTTTCGATTGAGTTTTTATCAAAGTCACAAATGGTCCTTGTCCAGAACACTTTTCATGAAATATCGTACGATCAAAACCATCCCGACTTTTTAAATAAATAAGCTTAAACTTATACCGATTATTGAATGCAAGAATGGTTGAATCTTTTTTATCGATCCAATTGGCTATAATTGGTGCAAGCATTGGTTTGATTATGGTTGATTCTAATTTACTCACGCGAGGTGGTAAAATTGATTGTTTTGGAAAGGTGTTTTTATAATAGAATTCAGTAATCTCTTCATTAATATGATGAGGAATGATGGCTTTATAAGGGCGGATTTTATCATAGAAATCAATGCTAGAAATATCCGTAAATCGAATAAGCGGAATGAATTGACTTAATGTTTTCTCCAACGCTTCAAAATCTTTTTGATTCCATGTGACTAAATCACTCTTCTTGCTTCCCAGTTCAGGAGTCTGTTCAATACCCCATTTAATTAAACAATCCCAAGCAACGATTTCTTTAATCTCAAGGAACTCACTTTTAAGCAAGTCAAAAAGTATATCTTTATCAAGCAATAGAAAGCTATTCGAAGTTATAAACGGTTCTGGATCGGCACAGATCGATTCAAGACAATAATCTTGCAGGTTCTTGCAATTAGAAAGCCTAAACACAGTATGAAGAACGAAAATATAATTTTGTTGAATCCAGCTTGGATCTTTTTCAAGCAAGTATTCTTGAACATTCTTGAATAATTCTTCAAGTAATAGTTCATCAGAAGCAATTAACAGTCTTAAAATATCTTCGCATGACTGCAGTGACAAATTAAGTTCTCCGGTGTAAATGTAACTTAAAAAAAATTTAAATCACAAAAAATTTTTTATAGCAAACAAAAAAATAATTTAGAAATAATTATTGTAGATTTTTTAAATATAACTTACCTTAGGATCATGTTAAAAACAATTGGAGTGATATTTGGTTTATTAAATGTGATCATATTATTCTTTTTTGTAATCCAATTAGATGAAAGAGCACTTTTGAAATATGGAGAGCGTGCACGTAAAATAACTGAATGAGCATAAAATTCTTTTGTATCTTGATTTTCACCAACTTGAATTTTGACATCGAAGTTATCGGCATCAATTAATATTAAAGCAAGATCTTTTGAAAGACCTGAATGGAATATTAAAGTCATTTTGAAAAAAAAAATTTTTTGATTTTTTGTTAAGGAAAGAAAATAAAATTTTTGATTATTTTGTATGGAAAATAAATGGAAAAAGTTAAAAGTGCGCCTTAAAAAAATGTAAAACACGTGGATTTTATATTTTTTTGCATTGTTACATCACCGCACGCGACTGACCTTGTGTCACCCATCAAAAAATGTCACGCATTATGAAATTAATTGCGGCGCACATGTGACGGATAGTGTGGTAGAAAAAACACGGAGGGAGGGTGATACAAAAATATACGTAAGATATTTTGATGGGACCGCAGTCCACAGACAGATATTGGAAATTAATGAAAGTTTTTGCAATTAACGGACCCATAGAGACAACATAATTTATTATATACCTTTAATATCCAAAAAAGAAATATGATTATCTTCGGATATTATGAAATAATTGATTTTCAAGAAAAGTGTTTCGAAAACGGGTGCTTTTGTTAATTCTGTTATAGGATACCTAAAAAAAAAAAAAAAAAAAAAAAATTAATTAAATAAAAAATCAAAAAAAAAATTATTTTTTGACATTAAGACAGACTGGGGCAGGTCATTTGACATTGATAATTATCGTCATTGACTATTTTCGCAATTGTTAATCCACTTTGATAAAATCAGCAATAATTCTATTATAATATTAAAATGACTTTTAAATTTAAAATTTAGGATCAATCCGTTTTATAAAAATAATTCACTCGCAATTTAATGATGATTGAAATCGAAGCAGGCAGCAGCAAAAAACATATGGGCTGATGAAAGGTATTTTGCTTATAGTAACCTTATTATATATATTTATTGTTTTTAAAAAATAAATACAGAAAACTAACCGAAAAATTCTCAATATTCTAGAACATATGTTTGGATTTGATATTGAAATATTACATCAAATATGAATTGAACAATCTAGAAAATTATCAATTGATAAAGTTATATTTAATGAAGTATCTCAGCGAAATAAACAATATGAATAATTTAGAAAAGAGTCATGAAAAAAATTAAACAGCTTATTTTAAAACATAGAGTCTGGAAATTCGATTTATAGGATATGAAAATCAGCTAATTAATATTAAATATAATTCAATAATAGATAATGTAAGATTAGATGCTTATATACAGTGGTGGTCAAAAAAAAGGACAATTTTTTTGAAAATAGATCTGCAAGTATAACTAATCAAATTTGGTTGCATATGCATAAATAAATATGCAAATGAAAGCCCCATCACCCACCTTCAATGAAACTTTTTCCATACCTTATTTAAAAACAAAATTTATTGCATACCTAAATGTCCTCACCTAAGCAAGAATCACAATGGCAAACCATTCTATATGGGAACTTTGCTATTAAAAGTGGGTTCCGAGACTATAAATTGATTTTGAGTTAAATGATGATCAAAAAATAGTTACGCCACA